ATATTCAACTATCATCTGTTTATATTCATCTATCATCTGTTTATATTCATCTATCATCTGTTTTATATTCATCTATCATCTGTTTATATTCATCTATCATCTGTTTATATTCATACTATCATCTGTTTATATTCAATCTATCATCTGTTTATATTCATTTCTATCATCTGTTTATATATCTATAATCTATCATCTGTTTATATTAACTATCATCTGTTTATATTCATCTATCATCTGTTATATTCATCTATCATCTGTTATATTCATCTATCATCTGTTTATATTCATCTATCATCTGTTTATATTCATCTATCATCTGTTATATTCATCTATCATCTGTTTATATTCATCTATCATCGTTTATATTCATCTATATCTGTTATATTCATCTATCATCTGTTTATATTCACTATCATCTGTTTATATTCAACTATCATTGTTTATATTCATCTATCATCTGTTTATATTCATCTATCATCTGTATATTCATCTATCATCTGTTTATATTCAACTATCATCTGTTTATATTCATCTATCATCTGTTTATATTCATCTATCATCTGTTTATATTCATCTATCATCTGTTATATTCATCTCATCTGTTTATATTCAACTATCATCTGTTATATTCATCTATCATCTGTTTATATTCATCTATCATCTGTTTATATTCATCTATCATGTTTATATCATCTATCATCTGTTTATATTCAATCTATCATCTGTTTATATTCATCTATCATCTGTTTATATTCATACTATCATCTGTTTATATTCATCTATCATCTGTTTATATTCATCTATCATCTGTTTATATTCATACTATCATCTGTTTATATTCATCTATCATCTGTTTATATTCATCTATCATCTGTTTATATTCAATCTATCATCTGTTTATATTCATCTATCATCTGTTTATATTCATCTATCATCTGTTTATATTCAACTATCATCTGTTTATATTCAACTATCATCTGTTTATATTCAACTATCATCTGTTTATATTCATCTATCATCTGTTTATATTCATCTATCATCTGTTTATATTCATCTATCATCTGTTTATATTCATCTATCATCTGTTTATATTCAATCTATCATCTGTTTATATTCATCTATCATCTGTTTATATTCATCTATCATCTGTTTATATTCATCTATCATCTGTTTATATTCATCTATCATCTGGTTATATTCATCTATCATCTGTTTATATTCATCTATCATCTGTTTATATTCATCTATCATCTGTTTTTATATTCATCTATCATCTGTTTATATTCATCTATCATCTGTTTATATTCATCTATCATCTGTTTATATTCAACTATCATCTGTTTATATTCATCTATCATCTGTTTATATTCATCTATCATCTGTTTATATTCATCTATCATCTGTTTATATTCATCTATCATCTGTTTATATTCAACTATCATCTGTTTATATTCCTCTATCATCTGTTTATATTCATCGATCATCTGTTTATATTCAACTATCATCTGTTTATATTCAACTATCATCTGTTTATATTCATCTATCATCTGTTTATATTCATCTATCATCTGTTTATATTCACTATATCTGTTATATTCAACTATCATCTGTTTATATTCATCTATCATCTGTTTATATTCTACTATCATCTGTTTATATTCATCTATCATCTGTTTATATTCAACTATCATCTGTTTATATTCATCTATCATCTGTTTATATTCAACTATCATCTGTTTATAATTCATCTATCATCTGTTTATATTCAACTATCATCTGTTTATATTCATACTATCATCTGTTTATATTCAATCTATCATCTGTTTATATTCATCTATCATCTGTTTATATTCATCTATCAATCATCTGTTTATATTCATCTATCATCTGTTTATATTCTACTATCATCTGTTTATATTCAACTATCATCTGTTTATATTCAACTATCATCTGTTTATATTCATCTATCATCTGTTTATATTCATCTATCATCTGTTTATATTCAACTATCATCTGTTTATATTCATCTATCATCTGTTTATATTCAACTATCATCTGTTTATATTCAACTATCATCTGTTTATATTCATCTATCATCTGTTTATATTCATCTATCATCTGTTTATATTCATCTATCATCTGTTTATATTCAACTATCATCTGTTTATATTCAACTATCATCTGTTTATATTCATCTATCATCTGTTTATATTCAACTATCATCTGTTTATATTCATCTATCATCTGTTTATATTCAACTATCATCTGTTTATATTCATCTATCATCTGTTTATATTCATCTATCATCTGTTTATATTCATCTATCATCTGTTTATATTCATCTATCATCTGTTTATATTCATCTATCATCTGTTTATATTCATCTATCATCTGTTTATATTCATCTATCATCTGTTATATTCATCTATCATCTGTTTATATTCAACTATCATCTGTTTATATTCATCTATCATCTGTTTATATTCATCTATCATCTGTTTATATTCATCTATCATCTGTTTATATTCATCTATCATCTTTTATATTCATCTATCATCTGTTTATATTCATCTATCATCTGTTTATATTCAACTATCATCTGTTTATATTCAACTATCATCTGTTTATATTCATCTATCATCTGTTTATATTCATCTATCATCTGTTTATATTCAACTATCATCTGTTTATATTCATCTATCATCTGTTTATATTCATCTATCATCTGTTTATATTCATCTATCATCTGTTTATATTCATCTATCATCTGTTATATTCATCTATCATCTGTTATATTCATCTATCATCTGTTTAATTCATATCATCTGTTTATATTCATCTATCACCTGTTTATATTCATCTATCATCTGTTTATATTCATCTATCATCTGTTTATATTCATCTATCATCTGTTTATATTCATCTATCATCTGTTTATATTCATCTATCACCTGTTTATATTCATCTATCATCTGTTTATATTCATCTCTCATCTGTTTATATTCTACTATCATCTGTTTATATTCACTATCATCTGTTTATATTCATCTATCACCTGTTTATATTCATCTATCATCTGTTTATATTCATCTATCATCTGTTATCATTTCATCTTTTATCTGTATTCTACTATCATCTGTGTATATTCAACTATCATCTGTTTATATTCATCTATCATCTGTTTATATTCATCTATCATCTGTTTATATTCATCTATCATCTGTTTATATTCATCTATCATCTGTTTATATTCATCTATCATCTGTGTATATTCATCTATCATCTGTTTATATTCATCTATCATCTGTTTATATTCATCTATCATCTGTTTATATTCATCTATCATCTGTGTATATTCTACTATCATCTGTTTATATTCTACTATCATCTGTGTATATTCTACTATCAGCTGTTTATATTCAACTATCATCTGTGTATATTCTACTATCAGCTGTGTATATTCTACTATCAGCTGTGTATATTCTACTATCAGCTGTGTATATTCTACTATCAGCTGTGTATATTCTACTATCAGCTGTGTATATTCTACTATCAGCTGTGTATATTCTACTATCAGCTGTGTATATTCTACTATCAGCTGTGTATATTCTACTATCAGCTGTGTATATTCTACTATCAGCTGTGTATATTCTACTATCAGCTGCTCTCTGGAGAACCAGCACCTTACCTGGTCGAGAGGTTCGTGTGCCCTGATGAACCTGGGGGCTGTGTTGTCTGTGTGCTGTTTATATTCTACTATCATATGTTTTTCATCACACTTGTCGAGGGCTGAGTCGATGACTTCTTTCATGGCACTTTCTGGATTACTACACTTTCACTTCTTCATGTTTTTTTTACCGTGACTTTTTCCCCCATTTTGAACATTTAGATTTTACTCATTTTTTCAAAACACTGATTTTCTCCAAATGTTGCGACTTTTTCTTACAAACTAAACTATTAACTTTTTTCATAATTTGTTGGCATATTATTCGTTGACTTTTTTCAAATCTTTTCTACATAATCTACCATGAGGTTTTCATATTTTTTGACATACTACTTTGACATGTTTTTGACATACTATACAATTACATTTAAGTTTTTGACAAACTTTAGTTTGACTTTTTTTAAACATGTTTCGTCATCCTAGAATACGGCTATTTTCATAATTTTGGTCTTTTCCAAATACTCTACTATGACTGTCATCGTTTTTATAATACTATAATGTGACATTTTATTATACTTAATATATATACTCAAAGACCTCATGAAGGAAAACATATGAAGCTTTAAATCTTTCTCCGATGGTTTTTATTCCATCAAAACTCATGTTTTTAGTTTAATGAAGAGACAAAACAAACTGAGCGATTGTTCCACGTTGATATCGCTGTGTCAGGACCTATTTCGGCAGTCTAATGAAATCTGACAGCCAGCCCTAAAATAATCAGAATAATAAATAAAGGATTCTCCTGAAACGTCCAAAGACACAAATAATTCAGAGTCTGACGAGAGCTTGTTTTTATGGCACCTTCCTCAGAGCTCAGCATGAAGAGCGATCTGTGATGCATCAGCGGGTCCACGGGATCTGTGACGCATCAGCGGGTCCACGGGATCTGTGACGCATCAGCGGGTCCACGGGATCTGTGACGCATCAGCGGGTCCACGGGATCTGTGACGCATCAGCGGGTCCACGGGATCTGTGACGCATCAGCGGGTCCACGGGATCTGTGACGCATCAGCGGGTCCACGGGATCTGTGGAGCGGACGGCTACCAACGGGGGTTTCACACAGGAGATTCACTTTCAGATATAATCATCTTTATCCTAATTAAAAGTGAACAAACTTTCCCTCTGGGTTCAATCTGAATCCATTTAATCACAAATAAATCATATATATGTTTAAACATTCTTCCTCATGTGGGTTAGACTAAAAGAGGATAACACATGTATACGTTTGCTTATATTTGGGTAAAATCCAACATAAAAACACTCTGGGGTCGAAAGTGAGAAAACTGAAATTCAACATTGAATTTATTGATAAAACATTAAACATTTAATTGAAAAAAGAACTTGCAGGGTTTCTGTTTTTCTACAGTTTGCTGTTAGGGATTCTGTTCTTTCTTCTCGTTTCCTTACATTTATTTGATTATATTTAAAACAAATGAATGTCTTGAATGAATCGGGTGTCATTGACCCGGATTAGTTAGTAATAAATACGTTAATTGATGTAATTATTGAACATTTTGAGACAGTTTTATAATCCATAAGGCCAACATATTTACAGCACTAATACTATAATGTTTTTACACAGAGCCGTGCACTATTTTGTTAATTGAAGTCTGCACCAAAGATCCCAATACCTTTATAATAAAGAGCGATTTTAGAGAGCCAAACAGAGAGGAGGAGGAAGTCGTGGCTGAAGACTGAAACCACTTCCTCTGATTGATACTGGGAATATTGCTCCACAACACTTTAATACACATCTCAGTTATTACTTTCAGGGATGTTAGGGTGCCTGGACTCTAGATAACTAATACATACATCTCTATGGATATTCTGGATATGATACGCTGCAGCTGTGATTTCAACACTGAGTGAGTCTCACCTCCACCGCCTCTCTTCTGATTGTGTTAATGCAGCTGCTTGAAGCTAAACCTCACCACAAAATGATCATTTATACATCAGTTACTCCCCGTGTGTATCTCAACTCTGGAAGAAAACGAATGTCTCCGTAGCAAACGATCCAAAGAAAAGGGAAAAGTCCTGATGAATGGGGTAACCTTTGATACTGGAAAGCTGCCTCATAACCCAGCACCTCCTGAATAATACTCGTATCTCCTGTCGAATCTGGCGGGTTTTACATATGTTTAGGAACTTTATATTTAAATTCTGAGAAATTGAATAAACACCCACAATAAGGCCTGTCTATCATGTCACATGGCACCCAACGTGGGGATAAAATAAATCCCCCAAGAAGGGAAATGTCACTGTGACCCTGAAAGCAGTAGATGTTAATAATTAGGACAGGAAGAGAATGTGAGGCTGTGAAAGAAAACGGTTTGCTACCCTGGCTCCTAAATGGTGGAATGAGCTCCGGACAGAGACCAGGGCGGACACAAAAATTTTTAAAAAGTGAATGTAGGCCTTGTTTCTGATTCACCAGCACTTGCCTATGACTCGCTGGAGGTGAATATATCTGCACTTTCCTTGTTGTTCGGAGTTTGATTCTTTATGGGTTTTGCACTTACTGTAAGTGGCTCTGGGTGAAAGCGTCAGCTTGATGATGGGTAAGAACAGGACTGCATCCACTGCTCCGGTTTCTCGTTGATCTGTCAGTGGGGTTTTTTCTCAACGACAGTAAAACGGGGGAGTAACTGATGGATAAATGGTCATATCTGATTGTGGATTAATCCTTTATATTCAAATGTGAGTGTTGCTAGTGAGCCTCCTCTGGGGGGGCGTCAGCTGATGGCCCCCTAGAGGTGAGGGAGGGGAGGAGGGTGGTGCTGTTCCCTGGGGGGGTGGTGCTGTCACCAGGGGGGGCGTCGGGCAGCAGGGTGGTGCTGTTCCCAGGGGGGGCGTCGGGGAGCAGGGTGGTGCTGTTACCCGGGGGGGAATCGGGCAGCAGGGTGGTGCTGTTCCCTGGTGGGGCGTCGGGCAGCAGGCTGGTGCTGTTCCCTGGGGGGGCGTCGGGCAGCAGGCTGGTGCTGTTCCCTGGGGGGGCGTCGGGCAGCAGGGTGGTGCTGTTCCCTGGGGGGGCGTCGGGCAGCAGGGTGGTGCTGTTCCCTGGGGGGTTGGAAGTGTTCCGTGGGGGAATGGTGGTTGGATCCTGCAGGATGAAGGTGGAGGGGCCGCTGGACGAAGGACTGGCTTCAGATTGGGGGAGGGCAGAGGGGTCGGAGGAGTTGGACTCTGAGGACAGGTTGGAGGCGGGGTTTAGGACGGGGGAGTCGGAGAGTGTGTGTGGGAGGACGGGGGAGTCGGAGAATGTGTGTGTGAGGGGGGGGGAGGCGGGGACTGTGGGGGAGGGGGAAGGGGTCGGCCCGGGGGTGTGAGGGGGGGTCGGCTGCTGAGGATCCGAGCAAACTACATCCCCCTCGGACACGTACCACACCTCGTTGTGCCTGTTCAACAGCTTCAAGGGACTACACACACACACACACACACACACACACACACACACACACACACACACACACACACACACACACACACACACACACACACACACACACACACACACACACACACACACACACACACACACACACACACACACACACACACACACACACACACACACACACACACACACACACACACACACACACACACACACACACACACACACACACACACACACACACACACCACACACACACACACACACACACACACACACACACACACACACACACACACACACACACACACACACACACACACACACACACACACACACACACACACACACACACACACACAGGAAAAAAAAAAGTTTCAAAGTTGAGAAATTCCCGAAACAATACAAAGTCATAAAAGCCCTTTCTCATACGCCTCTGTCTCTATTTAGTGTAAATATTGTCTTTATTTTAAAAATGTTACGCTAGTTTGTATAATAAAGCTATTTTTTGCAATACATTTTTTTTTTAATAATGTTCTTCTGGTATCTGTATGTACCATTTATACAAAAGCAAATTCCCCGTATGTGTAAACCTACTTGGTGATGATAAGGATTATGATTGTGATGATGAAGTGTTTACCTGTCGTACCCCACTCCGTAGTGGTAGCTGCGGTTGTACGAGGCGCCCACCCTGCCCAGCTCTTTGGTCAGGAGGTGGGCGTGAAGCCGGGAGGTGACGGACAGCATCCAGCCCCCGTACCCCCGCACATACACATCCATCTCCGGCATCTCTGTGAAGTACAGCTACACACACACACACACACACACACACACACACACACACACACACACACACACACACACACACCACACACACACACACACACACACACACACACACACACACACACACACACACACACCACACACACACACACACACACACACACACACACACACACACACACACACACACACACACACATACACACACACACACACACACACACACACACACACACACACACACACACACACACACACACCAGCATCTAGGCGTCACAGAAGACAACATGCTGCTCCACATACTCTCCACATGTGAACATCACCACCACTAAGCTAAAGGAGGCTAATGTTGGGCTATAAAGGAACTACAGCACGGTCACATGACTTCACGTCACCACCGCTAAGCTAAAGGAGGCTAATGTTGTGCTATAAAGGAGATACAGCACGGTCACATGACTTCACGTCACCACAGCTAAGCTGAAGGCGGCTAATGTTGGGCTATACAGGAACTACAGCACGGTCACATGACTTCACGTCACCACCGCTAAGCTGAAGGCGGCTAATGTTGGGCTATAAAGGAACTACAGCATAGTCATATGACTTCACGTCACCACCGCTAAGCTGAAGGCGGCTAATGTTGGGCTATAGAGGAGCTACAGCACGGTCACATGACTTAACGTCACCACCGCTAAGCTAAAGGAGGCTAATGTTGGGCTATAAAGGAACTACAGCAGGGTCACATGACTTCACGTCACCACTGCTAAGCTAAAGGTTGCTAATGTTGAGCTATAAAGGAAATACAGCATGGTCACATGACTTCACGTCACCACCGCTAAGCTAAAGGTTGCTAATGTTGGGCTATCGAGAAACTACAGCACGGTCACATGACTTCACGTCACCACCGCTAAGCTAAAGGAGGCTAATGTTGGGCTATAGAGGAACTACAGCACGGTCACATGACTTCATGTCACCACCGCTAAGCTAAAGGTGGCTAATGTTGGGCTATAAAGCAACTACAGCACGGTCACATGACTTCACGTCACCACCGCTAAGCTAAAGGTGGCTAATGTTGAGCTATAAAGGAACTATAGCACGGTCACATGACTTCACGTCACCACCGCTAAGCTGAAGGCGGCTAATGTTGGGCTTTTAAAGGAGCTACAGCACGGTCACATGACTTCACATCACCACCGCTAAGCTAAAGGAGGCTAATGTTGGGCTATAAAGGAACTGCAGCACGGTCACATGACTTCACGTCACCACTGCTAAGCTAAAGGTGGCTAATGTTGGGCTATAGTGGAACTACAGCACGGTCACATGACTTCACGTCACCACCGCTAAGCTAAAGGAGGCTAATGTTGGGCTATAGAGGAACTACAGCACGGTCACGTGACTTCATGTCACCACCGCTAAGCTAAAGGAGGCTAATGTTGGGCTATAGTGGAACTACAGCACGGTCACATGACTTCATGTCACCACCGCTAAGCTAAAGGTGGCTAATGTTGGGCTATAAAGGAACTACAGCACGTCACATGACTTCACGTCACCACCGCTAAGCTAAAGGTGGCTAATGTTGGGCTATAAAGGAACTACAGCACGGTCACATGACTTCACGTCACCACCGCTAAGCTGAAGGCGGCTAATTTTGGGCTATAGAGGAACTACAGCACGGTCACATGACTTCATGTCACCACCGCTAAGCTAAAGGTGGCTAATGTTGGGCTATAAAGGAACTACAGCATGGTCACATGACTTCACCACCGCTAAGCTAAAGGAGGCTAATGTTGGGCTATAGAGGGACTACAGCACGGTCACATGACTTCACGTCACCACCGCTAAGCTAAAGGCGGCTAATGTTGGGCTATAAAGGAGATACAGCACGGTCACATGACTTCACGTCACCACCGCTAAGCTAAAGGTGGCTAATGTTGGGCTATAAAGGAGATACAGCACGGTCACATGACTTCACATCACCACCGCTAAGCTAAAGGAGGCTAATGTTGGGCTATAGAGGAACTACAGCACGGTCACATGACTTCATGTCACCACCGCTAAGCTAAAGGTGGCTAATGTTGGGCTATAAAGCAACTACAGCACGGTCACATGACTTCACGTCACCACCGCTAAGCTGAAGGCGGCTAATGTTGGGCTTTTAAAGGAGCTACAGCACGGTCACATGACTTCACGTCACCACCGCTAAGCTAAAGGAGGCTAATGTTGGGCTATAAAGGAACTACAGCACGGTCACATGACTTCACGTCACCACCGCTAAGCTAAAGGAGGCTAATGTTGGGCTATAGAGGAACTACAGCATGGTCACATGACTTCACCACTGCTAAGCTAAAGGAGGCTAATGTTGGGCTATAGAGGAACTACAGCACGGTCACATGACTTCATGCTCCCCCTCGGCCAGATCATCCGACATCATGGACTCAACTTCCACTGCTACGCTGATGATACCCAATTGTATCTCAGCACCACTCCATCCTCCCAGCTCCCCCCTCAGTCTCTCATCAACTGCCTGCATGACATCAAAGCATGGATGTCATGCAACTATCTGAAACTAAACAGCATGAAAACAGAGCTCATGGTTGTGGCACCCAAGGCCCTGCTCCAGAAGGTTGGTGACTTCGTCCTTGAGGTTGACGGCTGCTCCATCTCCCCATCTCCTGAAGCCCGCAACCTGGGTGTCATCCTCGACTCCACCCTTTCCTTCCATTCCCACGTCAAATCTGTGACCAAATCGGCCTTTTATCACCTGAGGAACATTGCCAGACTCCGACCGTCACTCTCGGAGTCGGTTGCCGAAACCCTAGTCCATGCATTTGTCACCACCCGCTTGGACTACTGCAATGGTGTCCTGTTCGGGGTTCCCAACAAAACCCTGGACAGGCTCCAGTATGTCCAAAACTGTGCTGCTAGGGTACTCACGCACACAAAACCGTGGCAGCACATCACTCCCACCCTCATCCACCTACACTGGTTGCCGGTCAAGTCCCGCATATCCTACAAAATCCTCCTCCTTACCTACAAATCCCTCCATGCCCTTGCCCCCCAGTACCTATCGGACATCCTTCACCCACATGCCCCACCCCGGAACCTGCGGTCCTCAGACTCTGGCCTGCTTACCACCCCCCGCACCAAACTGCGAACCTACGGGGACAGAGCCTTCAGTGTGGCAGCCCCCACCCTCTGGAACGCTCTCCCTGCGGAGATACGCAACATCCCCACACTTGAAGCCTTCAAAAGGGCCCTCAAGTCCCATCTGTTTGCCAAGGCTTTCGGCCCCTAAATCGATCTGTTGTTCTGTTTGTCTGTCTTTTGTTTTGTTATGTTTGTCTTTGCACTATTACTTGTGAAGCGACCTTGGGTCCCCTGAAAGGCGCTATAGAAATCGAAGCTATTATCATTATTTATTATTATGTCACCACCGCTAAGCTAAAGGTGGCTAATGTTGGGCTATAGTGGAACTACAGCACGGTCACATGACTTCATGTCACCACCACTAAGCTAAAGGAGGCTAATGTTGGGCTATAGTGGAACTACAGCACGGTCACATGACTTCATGTCACCACCGCTAAGCTAAAGGTGGCTAATGTTGGGCTATAAAGGAACTACAGCACGTCACATGACTTCACGTCACCACCGCTAAGCTAAAGGTGGCTAATGTTGGGCTATAAAGGAACTACAGCACGGTCACATGACTTCACCACCGCTAAGCTAAAGGAGGCTAATGTTGGGCTATAGAGGGACTACAGCACGGTCACATGACTTCACGTCACCACCGCTAAGCTAAAGGCGGCTAATGTTGGGCTATAAAGGAGATACAGCACGGTCACATGACTTCACGTCACCACCGCTAAGCTAAAGGTGGCTAATGTTGGGCTATAAAGGAGATACAGCAAGGTCACATGACTTCACCACCGCTAAGCTAAAGGAGGCTAATGTTGGGCTATAGAGGGACTACAGCACGGTCACATGACTTCACGTCACCACCGCTAAGCTAAAGGCGGCTAATGTTGGGCTATAAAGGAACTACAGCACGGTCACATGACTTCACGTCACCACCGCTAAGCTAAAGGCGGCTAATGTTGGGCTATAAAGGAACTACAGCACGGTCACATGACTTCACATCACCACCGCTAAGCTAAAGGTGGCTAATGTTGGGCTAAAAAGGAACTACAGCACGGTCGCATGACTTCACGTCACCACCGCTAAGCTAAAGGTGGCTAATGTTGGGCTATAAAGGAACTACAGCACGGTCACATGACTTCACGTCACCACTGCTAAGCTAAAGGTGGCTAATGTTGGACTATAAAGGAACTACAGCACGGTCACATGACTTCACGTCACCACCGCTACGCTGAAGGCGGCTAATGTTGGGCTATAAAGGAGATACAGCACGGTCACATGACTTCACGTCACCACCGCTAAGCTAAAGGTGGCTAATGTTGGGCTATAACGGAACTACAGCACGGTCACATGACTTCACGTCACCACCGCTAAGCTGAAGGCGGCTAATGTTGGACTATAAAGGAGCTACAGCACGGTCACATGACTTCACGTCACCACCACTAAGCTGAAGGCGGCTAATGTTGGACTATAAAGGAGCTACAGCACGGTCACATGACTTAACGTCACCACCGCTAAGCTAAAGGCGGCTAATGTTGGGCTATAAAGGAACTACAGCACGGTCACATGACTTCACATCACCACCGCTAAGCTAAAGGTGGCTAATGTTGGGCTAAAAGGAACTACAGCACGGTCGCATGACTTCACGTCACCACCGCTAAGCTAAAGGTGGCTAATGTTGGGCTATAAAGGAACTACAGCACGGTCACATGACTTCACGTCACCACTGCTAAGCTAAAGGTGGCTAATGTTGGACTATAAAGGAACTACAGCACGGTACATGACTTCACGTCACCACCGCTAAGCTAAAGGCGGCTAATGTTGGGCTATAAAGGAACTACAGCACGGTCACATGACTTCACATCACCACCGCTAAGCTAAAGGTGGCTAATGTTGGGCTAAAAAGGAACTACAGCACGGTCGCATGACTTCACGTCACCACCGCTAAGCTAAAGGTGGCTAATGTTGGGCTATAAAGGAACTACAGCACGGTCACATGACTTCACGTCACCACTGCTAAGCTAAAGGTGGCTAATGTTGGACTATAAAGGAACTACAGCACGGTCACATGACTTCACGTCACCACCGCTTAGCTAAAGGTGGCTAATGTTGGGCTATAACGGAACTACAGCACGGTCACATGACTTCACGTCACCACCGCTAAGTTGAAGGCGGCTAATGTTGGACTATAAAGGAGCTACAGCACGGTCACATGACTTCACGTCACCACCACTAAGCTGAAGGCGGCTAATGTTGGACTATAAAGGAGCTACAGCACGGTCACATGACTTCACGTCACCACCGCTAAGCTGAAGGCGGCTAATGTTGGGCTATAAAGGAGCTACAAGTGAGGAAATGCTGACTCATGTCAGGATTTAGGACTCATTCCTGCACATCTCTATACGTTTGAGTGTCTGAATGTCTGAACCTTGTCATTGGTTGGCGCCGGCGGCTCTTCCTGATAGGCTGCCGGCAGCGGGAAGCTGAGGGTGTAGACGGCTGGTTCCCACATCCTGGTATCCTCCGGGATCTTCACCAGGACGGGGGCGGTCATCTCCATCTGGACTCCTGAGGACACACACACAGAAACACTGAACACACACACAGAAAAACACTGAACACAGAAACACTGAACACACTCCGAGAGACTGAACACACACACATCAAAACCCTGAACACACACAGCAACACTGAACACATGTAACACTACAGGATTTAAGAGGGTGTACTGCAGGTGAAAACTTTAACTTGAACTCTGACTTCTTTCAGAAAGGTTGATGTTTTTCAGAATTCTGACTTTTTATTTGTATTCTGACTTTTTTCTTAAAAAAATTACTTTTTATTAAAATTATGACTTTTTTAATACAATTTCGGACTTTTTCCTCAAAATTCTAACTTTTATAAAAATATGGACTCAAACTTCTCAAATTTTTCAGAATTCTGATTATTTTCAAAAGTCTGACTTTCCCCCAGAATTCTGAGATCAAACACAGAATTATGAAACATTTGTTGATCCAGGCTCATATTCCTGACATTCCAGTCAAAGGTTTTTACCTTTATATACAGTCTATGGGTTTTACATGTTTTTGAACTACAGTCTGTTGGAGTGGGTCTGCTGGTCTCACCCCCCACGTTGGCCCCGGTGATGAACTGGAAGAGTCTCCTGAAGGCCATCGCTGCTCCCACTCCCATGAAATACGCCTCTGCATCTGTGGACACCCAGCGGGTCGGACTGTAGTGTCGCACCTGGACACACACACACATTGCGCATTACAATATGTAAAAATGAATAGCCATACGTTTTATTTATTCAACTTCATTGTCAGTACAGGTACTAGTAACGAAACAGTTTCTCTGCATTTGACCCATCATAATGTTCGGAGCAGTGGGCTGCCATTATGATTATATTTAGTTGAGTCGTGTTCTTGCATTACACACACACACACACACACACACACACACACACACACACACACACACCACACACACACACACAACACACACACACACACACACACACACACACACACACACACATCACACACACACACACCACACCACACACACACACACACACACACACACACACACACCCACACACACACCACACACACACACACACACACACACACACACACACACACACACACACACACACACACACACACACACACACACACACACACACACACACACACACTCATATTCGTCTGTCTTGCAGACCAGCTGATACTCCAGGCACTCCTTGGACTCGGTGCAGAAGCTTCTGTTGCTGCTCGGTCTGCAACAGAGACAGATATCAACGTCTTTCTTGATGACTGAGCAAGGTTTGTACTTGCACCGTCAAATCTCAGGTATCTGGTCGCAGGTTGAAATGTAAAGACACCAATCCAAAATGGGGTTTGCCCATCACTGTTTCATAATGGAACACATGGGCCTGATTGATAAATCATCCAGAATGTCCCTGAACTCTCTCAATGGAGGTTCCTCATACGATAGTATCGTATGGTGGGGAGCCTGGTGATTCCCACCCCTACAAACTAAATAACTGAACTACCTGATCACTACGCAGAATGAAATGCAGTTAAGGTCAAGGTACCTCCTCCTCTGTCTGGTGCGTGGTTAGTGTGTTTACACCGTGGTTTCTGTACTGAATGTTCCTGAAGGGATCAACTTACCCGACGTTTCCTTCAGCCGCGACGGCGAGCGTCAGAAACGCAAAAACTGAGACGAAGGCCCTGAGGAGGAAAGGAGGAAGAATCATCTTAAAATACTGACGTACTACAGTGCTGGGATAACTTGGGTTACTTTGTACTTCTACTGTTCTCTTTAAAGCAGTTCATCTACTTAATAACTTGGCCCATCCATCATGCATTCATCATTTATCCAAAACATACAAAACCTTACTAACTTTGTCTATTTGTATTTATATATATTTCAAAATGTTGACTTTTTCTCTAAAGTCTTTGTTTTCTCTAAATTCTGACTTAATAAAGAAAAAGAAAGAAAATTGTAGACAAGAGGCAAAAGTACGACTAATATAAAAACTGGTAAAAAACAATATTTACACGAAATATAATAAATACACAACAAAAAAGTTGAGTCCAAATATGAATATGAGTTTAAATTGAACAGAGGTCGCGTTGAACGGAAACATGACAAATATTCAGACGGCAGGATTTACAGAATTAAAATGAACTCAACACTTTATTATGTGTTTAATAATAACACCTGACTGACCTCCACAGACACACTCCCACTCCCCCGCCACCCCCCCTCCCACCCGACTGACCTCCACAGACACACTCCCACTCCCCCGCCCCCCCCCCTCCCCCCGACTGACCTCCACAGACCACACTCCCACTCCCCCGCCACCCCCCCTCCCACCCGACCTGACCTCCACAGACACACTCCCAACTCCCCCGCCACCCCCCTCCCACCCGACTGACCTCCACAGACACACTCCCACTCCCCCGCCACCCCCCCTCCCACCCGACTGACCTCCACAGACACACTCCCACTCCCCCGCCACCCCCCCTCCCACCCGACTGACCTCCACAGACACACTCCCACTCCCCCGCCACCCCCCCCTCCACCCGACTGACCTCCACAGACACCACTCCCACGCCACCCCCCCTCCCACCCGACTGACCTCCACAGACACACTCCCACGCCACCCCCCTTCCCACCACCTGACCTCCCACAGACACACTCCCACGCCACCCCCCTCCCCCCCTCCCACCCGACTGACCTCCACAGACACATTCCCACTCCCCGCCACCCCCCCCCCCCCCCACCCCCCCCCCCCCCCCCCCCCCCCCCCCCCCCCCCCCCCCCCCTGACCTCCACAGACACACTCCCACTCCCCCCCCCACCTGACTGACCTCCTCCACAGACACACTCCCACTCGCTCCCTCCGCTCTGCCAACCTCCCCCCCCACCCGGACCAACCTCAAGTCCTGGGGCGGCAGAGCCTTCTCCGTTGCTGCACCCACCCTCTGGAGCTCACTCCCCCAATCCATCAGAGACTCCTCCGCCCTCACCGCATTCCAAACATCACTCTAAACCCACCTGGCCCCCCCCCACCCCCTCAGAATGACTAACACACTCAAATGAAATAGATTCAGACGAGGTGTTGAACTGACATGTGAATAATATTCAGAGGGCGGTTCAGGATTAACATGAACTCTAACTTTATTAGGTTTTAAATAACATATTTTTAAAAAATGGAAGAAAAAAAACAATACATTAAAAATATTAAATTCTAATAATAAAGGACACATAAATAAAAACAACCATAGTCTGAAGGATTATGGAATGTGTCAGAATACAGCCGGAAAGCATCAGCGCTGCAGTCTGAGTGGCGCCGCAGGAGACGGGACAGAGACTGCTGCATCATCCGCTCACTGGCTGCATCAAAGGCGTTTGGAGGTCAAACACAAACTGACTCATCAGAACCTCCAACAACCCAACATCTACACACTATGCAAGGTCTGAGTATTTAGGGCATTCAGCCGCTCAGCCCTGCAGCTCTCTTTAAATATGCAGCTTCGCATGACGCTGCAGAAAGAAAGAAACCTCTCCCTTTCTGACGGTAGAGATACACAACGACTGGAGACAAGGAAAGAGCTGCTACTCACATCGTGCTGGTCCACCTGCAGGGAGGAGAGAGGAGGAGAGACTGCAGTCTGCTGCACTCTGACTGCAGAGAGGAGGGGGGGGGGGAGGGGCTGATCACCGGACACACGATCACCTTCAGCTGCAGCAGGAAGTCTGCCGTCATCAGGAGACTTTAAAGAGTCCCTGTTCCTCCCCAGTAGTTCTGTGTTAGTGCATGTTAATGGTCTGCAAACACTACAATCCCCACGTTCCTCCAGAGGGACTTTGGGATATTTCTCTTCTATAACATGTCTTCGTTCAGGCTTATGTAAATAAACCTCTGACATATGACTGTCCTTTATTTTAATCGAACCTGTTATGCTCTTAACTTGTTTAATATTACCATATTTAATTCAAGATGCTCCTCAGATCACTTTGTATCTCCTCCTCGTAGCCGTGTGAAGCACCTTGAGATGATGTTTTTAAAGTGTAAACGAAATTGATTATTATAAATCCACATCTAGAGTTTATCTCGCTGACAAACTCCAACAGTTACCGTTACATGGGGTGTTGGGTTTTAAGTCATTCTTGATATTTGGTATACAAAAAAGCTAGTTTAAGATGTTTCTATAGTATTGCAAAAACTCTTCATTTACTTAAAGGTGGGGTAGGTAAGAATGGAGAAACCAGCTCGAGTGCGCTAGAATATGAAAATACGCAGCCCCTCCTCCAACACACGATGCAAGGCTGACAGGCAGGTAGGCCATCCAGTTACTTTAGCCGGCTCAGATGATTGGTAGGGGTGTTGAAAATAATCGTTTCACAAACACCACAGCATTTCACAAAACACCACAGCATTTCACATTGGACGGAAAGGGTATTCCTTTAGGGAGAATACTTCTTGTTTGTGATTGGACAGAGCCAGACAGAGAAGCACTGCTGTGATTGGTTGTTTTTGCTGCCAGTCAAGAAATGACGCTTCGTGATTGGTCAACACCCGACAGCGAAATATGTCCCAACACATCAGCGGTTTGCACACACTCAGAGCCTACAGCTCCTCATATCTGTTCAGAAACTGGACAAAAGTTCAACATATAAAAAACACAGACTGTCGTCATGGTGAATACAGTCGCTGCGTTATTTGTGTCTGTATGACGTTGTTGTGAGTGTGGACGGAGCAGCTATAGGTTAGTTTAGCCTGATGGATCCGATTCCGATAGGATTTACATGGAGATACGGCCCGCCCCCTCTCCAGCATGTTGTTTGAATGACCGGAGTAAACACAGAATTAATGCTTTATTAATTCATGGTTTTTAAGGGGCTTATCTCCATGTAAATACTATGGTAGACCACCCAATATTCGCATCGCTCTATATCGCTCGAGTTCCACCGCGGCTGTCAGCTGTGTTTGGTCCTGTCATTCAAACAAGAGGCGCTGAGAGGGGGCGGGGCGTATCTCCATGTAAATCCTATGGGAGATACCAACTACAACAAAATGAACATATTTGACCGTGATTTAATTGTAATACACGTTTCAAAGTGATGCCGAAGTAACTACATACTGATAAAGGTTAGTAAAAACCCTAAATTAACGCTTTGACAAGTCTGCAGACAGACGGCAGGCGAAAAGCTTTTAAAATGCGTGTTTTCTGAATGGAATCGGATCCATCAGGCTAAACTAACCTATAGCTGCTCCGTCCACACTCACAACAACGTCATACAGACATAAATAAAGCCAAGCAACTGTATTCGCCATGACACAGACAGTCTGTGGTTTGCTACTTGTTTAACTTGTGTCCAGTTTCTGAACAGATATGAGGAGCTGTGAGCTCTGAGTGTGTGCTAACCGCTGATGTGTTGGGACATATTTCGCTGCGGGTGTTGACCAATCACGAAGGTCATTTCTTGACTTGGCAGCAAAAAACAACCAATCACAGCAGTGCTTCTCTGTCTGGCTCTGTCCAAGAAGTGTTCTCCCTAAAGGATACCCTTTCCGTCCAATGTGAATGCTGTGTATGTTTTGTGAAATGCTGTGGTTGTTTTGTGAAATGCTGTGGTGTTTTTGTGAAATGCTGTGGTGTTTGTGAAAATGCTGGTCGGTGTTTTGTGAAATGCTGTAGTGTTTTGTGAAATGCTGTAGGTGTTTTTCTGTGAAATGCTGTAGTGTTTTGTGAAATGCATTGTGGTGTTTTGTGAAATGCTGTGGTGTTTTGTGAAATGCATGTGGTGTTTTGTGAAATGCTGTAGTGTTTTGTGAAATGCTGTGTGTTTTGTGAAATGCTGTAGTGTTTTGTGAAATGCTGTGTGTTTTGTGAAATGCTGTAGCGTTTTGTGAAATGCTGTGTGTTTTGTGAAATGCTGTGGTGTTTTGTGAAATGCTGTAGTGTTTTGTGAAATGCTGTGGTGTTTTGTGAAATGCTGTGGTGTTTTCTGAAATGCTGTGTGTTTTGTGAAATGCTGTGGTGTTTTCTGAAATACTTTGGTGTTTTCTGAAATGCTGTGGGGTTTGTGAAATGCTGTAGCGTTTAGTGAAATGCTGTAGTGTTTTGTGAAATGCGTTTTGTGAAATGCTTTAGCGTTTAGTGAAATGTGTGTGTTTTGTGAAATGCTGTGGTGTTTTCTGAAATGCTGTAGGTGTTTTGTGAAATACTGTAGTGTTTTGTGAAAGCTGTAGGTGCTTTGTCGAAATGCTGTAGGTGTTTTGTGAATGCTGTAGTTGTTTTGTTGAAATACTGTGGTGTTTTGTGAAATGCTGTATGGTGTTTTGTGAAATGCTGTAGTGTTTTGTGAAATGCTGTGGTGTTTTCTGAAATGCTGTAGTGTCTTGCACTTCAGGGCCACCGTACTTTCTAAATATTAAAAAGAGAGTTCATATGTATTTACTGCATGTATGCATTGATGAAAAATAAGCCATGTGCAGTAATATAGAAAATTGAGGATGCAACGCATTGGTATGAATCGTGATGCATCGGGATATCGAATTGAATCGAATCGTTGACAGGATAATCGTAATCGAATCGAATCGTGAGACCAGTGAAAATGCACAGCCCTAATGATTGGTCGTGCTTTTTACAGAACTACGGCTTCAACAGATGACATTTATGTATTCATTGTCAAAGCATTTAATATATTTCACTGCTATCGGGATGTTAAGAGCATTCCATGGAATATAACAAGTGTTTCTGAAATAAATTACATACCCCACCTTTAAAGTGTGTGACTTTTCATTAAGCTAAAAATATGTGATTTGATTTGATGAAAAAATATCCCTAAATATTTGTATAACTTTAATTTAAAGGTCTCCTATCATACAAAAGTCACTTTGTGATGTCTTCTCTACATCACCATGTGTCCCCGGTGTGTCGGGGGAACTCACGCAGCGTCAGAAAATAAAAACCCTCTCTCTTTTGCTCCGTACCCACATCTCTAAAAACGGGGGAACAACGGAGCTGATCCAGATTTGCGTCCGATATGACGTAATATCTGAAATGTGGACCCACGGCCCAATCAGAAACGTTGCTATCAGAAACAATGCCCGACTGTTTTGGACGTAATATGGTCGGTGTTTACATTAGCATCGCTAACACTCAGAGCTAACCCTGTACTGGAGAGCATGGCCCTTTCTCATTTCTCTAACTCCCCTCCTCGACTCCTATCCTCGATACTTAGTCCCGCCCACAGGAGATGCGAGTCGAGGAGCCGACGAGGGGAACCGAGGAGAGAGGAGGAGAGAGGAGAGGAGCCGAGGAGAGATGAGGGGAAGCAGCAGGCGGTTAGAGAAATGAGAACTCCTCTCCTCTGAGCGGTCATTTTAAAGAGACGTCCATTAATGATGAAAGGAGGCACAGCAGCCCTCTGTCTGATGGACAGATGTGTTCATGATGACTTCTATATTTACTTTGATTCATTACATTACATTACATTGCATTTAGCTGACGCTTTTATCCAAAGCGATTTACAATAAGTGCGTCTCGACCAACAAAATACAAACTTGAAGAAAACAGAATCATAAAGTACATCAGGTTTCATAGAGCCAAACATTTCAAGTGCTACTCAACTGGCTTTAGATAAGCCAGTCCTTTATTAGTATATAAGTGCTTTGTTAATAGTTCTATCGCTCGAAGTGGAGTCGAAAGAGATGAGTTTTCAGTCTGGAAGAGTGTGTCAAGCTATCTGCTGTCCTGATGTCAATGGATGCTCATTCCACCATTTTGGAGCCATCAGCAAACCCACGTGTTTTTGCTGATGGGAACTTGGGTCCCCTTCGCAGCGATGGTGCAGCGAGCCATTTGGCTGATGCAGAGCGGAGTGCACGTGCTGGGGTGTACGGTTTAACCATGTCCTGGATGTAGGAAGGGCCAGATCCATTCGCAGCATGGTACGCAAGTACCATTGTCTTGAAGTCTAGCAGTTACCGGAAGCCAGTGGAGGGAGCGGAGGAGCGGAGTGGTGTGGGAACATTTAGGAAGGTTGAAGACCAGGCGAGCCGCTGCATTCTGGATGAGCTGCAGAGGTCGGATGGCACATGCAGGTAGACCAGCCAGGAGGGAATTGCAGTAGTCTAGGCGTGAGATGACGAGAGCCTGGACCAGAACCTGAGTCGCTTTCTGAGGTCAGCTGGGGACGTATCTCCTGATGTTGTAAAGCGTTGTATCTGCAGCAACGGGTTGTAGCAGCGATGTTTGCAGTGAAGGACAGGTTGTTATCTAGGGTCACACCCAGATTCCTTGCAGTCTGAGTCGGGGAACAACAGAGGGGCCGATGTTGATTGTTAGGTCAAGAGTGGGACAATCTTTTCCCGGAAGGAAGAGCAGCTCAGTCTTGTCAAGGTTGAGCTTGAGGTGATGATCAGACATCCACTGAGAGATGTCAGCTAGACAAGCAGAGATGCGTGCGACGACCTGGGTCTCTGAGCGGGGGAAGGACAGAATTAATTGGGTGTCGTCAGCGTAGCAGTGGTATGAAAAACCATGCGGGCTAATGACTGATCCGAGCGAGTTTGTGTACAAGGAGAAGAGGAGGGGACCAAGAACAGAGCCCTGAGGGACCCCTGTAGTTAATTGACAAGGGTCGGACTCCGACCCTCTCCAAGTCACCCTGTAGGTACGGTCTTTGAGGTATGAGGTGAGGAGGGAAAGTGCAGAGCCTGAAACTCCAAGTTTTTGGAGAGTGCGAAGGAGGATCTGATGATTCACCGTG